AAGGAAGGAGGGAAGGGAAGTGAGGATGGCTGTGAGGGGGAAGAAGGGGAAGGGAGGAGGGGAGGGGCACAGAAAGGAAGGACTGGAGTAAGCAACAGAGGAGAGGGAGGAGAGAGGCGAGAAGGAGAGAGAGTAGGAGAGAGAGGAGGGAAGCAGGGAGGAGGAAAGTGGGAGAGAAGGGGAAAGGAGGGGAGGGGGTAGAAACAGGAAGTGTTAGATAAGGTAGCAGGGGCCAGGATCACAAAGAGGATTCTGGCAAAGGGAGAGTTTAATTGGGTTTGGCCCTCAACTTGGGTGTGCAAAGAACCAGCAGCCTAATGGCTGCAGAGGGGCAGCTTATAAAGGGACAGAACGCAGAAAAAGAGAACATTTTTCTGCTGTTTGGGACTGTTTGGGGGCTGATTGCTCATGGAGGGCGTGGGGTCTGTACCTGGTGAAACTTATCAAGAAAAACATCTTCTGTAAAACATGTTTTCTCACTTACAGGGTTCCAGGAATTAAGTGCAGCTAAGGGCTTGGGAAAACCTGTTTGTCAGCCTGTGGAGCATGCTCTGGTGATCACAGTACATTGGTGCTAATTCCCTGAGCTACTCTTGTTAACTTGCAGGCGGCTGGGAGTTGGTTGACTCAGCTTCTCTTAGGAACCTTATGATTTCTGGGTCTGGGGTCGCCTGGGTCGATACCCTAGGAGGAAGGATGGAGGGGGAGAGAGAGGGAGGGAGAACAGGAGGTGGGCTGAATGGAGAGGAGGGGGCAGAAAGGGAAGATGGGAGGCGGAGAGGGAGGGAGGAAAAGAGACGGTGAGAGAGAAAGGGGAAGGAGGGAGGGAAAGAGAGAGAAGGATGGAGGGGAGAGAGAGCAAGAGGAAGGAGAGAGAGAAGGATGGAGGGGAGAGAGCAAGAGGAAGGAGAGAGAAGGATGGAGGGAAAGAGAGAGAAGGATGGAGGGGAGAGAGAGAGAGAAGGATGGAGGGGAGAGCGAGAGGAAGGAGAGAGAAGGATGGAGGGAAAGAGAGAGAAGGATGGAGGGGAGAGCGAGAGGAAGGAGAGAGCAAGAGGAAGGGGAGAGAGAAGGATGGAGGGGAGAGGGAGAGGAAGGAGAGAGCAAGAGGAAGAAGGGAGGAGAGCAAGAGGAAGGAGGGAGAGGGAGAGGGAGAGGGAGAGGGAGGGAGAGAGAGAGAGAGAGAGAGAGTGAGTTTTAAGGTTTAAACTCCCAAAGTCTTCCTGGGACTCACGCTTCTGTAGCCTGGGCAGCCGGAGGGTGCTCGCTCCAGAGCTGCCACTTCCGGTGCCTGCAGAGGAACGCACTAAGAGCAACTGCGGCAGCACCGGACGTGCGGAGACGTGGACGTCGCCATCTTGGAAGGTCTGCCGTACAGACGCAGCCCAAGACCACGTGACCCGCCTCCGTTCTGACAGCGGGAAAGGTAGCAGCTGCAGACTCCGGGCCCCAGGCGGCTGTGCCCGAGTCCGGTCGCCGGAGCCGGAACAGGAAGCGCCTGGGCTGTGGGCGCAGCTGTCAGGAAGGTGCAGTTCTGGGGAACAGCACAGCAGGGTGGGGATACGACTGTGCGCGCTGAGAAAACGAGAACACCGGGAGGAAAACATCTTCCTTAGTGACGGGAGTTGGGTGACGTCTGTGGGTGGGAAGTGAGAGGAGGTGTGGGAGGGCAAGGGGAGGGAGACTTTGTGAATGGAGAGGGAGGGATAGTGAAGGGCCGTCCCTGCAGACTGGATTAAGGATTGGACGTGGGCTGGAGAGAGGGCTCAGCAGTTAGAGCAGTGGCTGCTCTTGCAGAGGACCAGGGTTCAAATCCCAGCACCCACATGGCAGCTCATAACCATCTGTAACTCTAGTTCCTGGGGATTCAGTGTCCTCCCTCTTCTGACCTCTGTGGGTTTTGCACGACACCAGTTAAGAGCACAGACTGCCCTTGCAAACGACCCAGATTCAAGTCCCACCACCCACATGGTGGCCAAAAACCGTCCATAACCTCAGTTCCAGGGGATCCAACACTCTTCTGACCTCCAGAAGCACTGCACTACACGAGTTTGTGGCCTCTGCAGGCATTTGCATGCATAGGTGCACTTACATACATGCAGGCAAAATAGTCATACACATAAAATAAGTACACTTTACTGTTATCTGAAAAACTCATTGGGGGGTTCTTTAATTTTACATTTTACTTACTTTGTGTGCATGCACATGGTATTTCCAGTTTGTGGAGGTCAGAAGACAACTTGTAGTTGTTTGTCTCCTTCCACCATGGTTGGTCCCAGGGAACAAACAGGTCATCAGGCTTGGTAGCAAGTCCCTTTACTGGCTGAGCACCTCAACAGCCATCTATTTAACTCTAGTTCCAGGGGAGCCTATGCCCTCTTCTGACCGCTGTAGGAATTGCATGACACAACAAAACAAAACAAAACAAAACAACAACAAAAAAAATGGGCTGGAGAGATGGCTCAGTGATTAAGAACACCAGCTGTTCTTGTAGAGGACTCAGGTTTGGGTCTCAGCACCCACATGCCAGCTAACAACCATTCCTAACTAGTTCCAGGGGACTGGATAGATGCCATCTTCTGGTCCGTGATGACATTGCATGACATGGGTGCACTTAGATACAGGGAGACAAAACATTCCTACACATAAAAATAAATATGAATTTTTTATGTGGTTGTTGATGTTCCGACCCAAAAGTAACCACGGACACAGGGAATGCTTATTTCAAAGACAGCCGAGGGCTCAGCACCTCCAGGGTGAGAGCCCCCAGTGCCCTTTTGCTCTTCTTTTTTATTGGCCTTGCAGAAGAGTCACAGTGTTAGGGAGTTTGAAACCACTGGGAAAAGACCACCAGACCCAATTCAAATTTCAATTGGTCAAATTTATCAGGGCTCTAGCCCTCCGTGGTCCCTTAGATTCAGGACCCACGGGCCCAGGGGAGGGTAAAAGTTGCTTATAAAGGCAAAAACTACAAATACTGTAGGAATTTTATCACAGATGAGTAAAGCCAGGTGGTTCTGAGTAGGTCAGGATGGCCCAAGTTAGCAGATAAGCAAACTACAGAAGCCAGAACAAGCTTGTGTTAGTCCTTCTCTTGACAGATGTACAGAGACCTTGCCAGTGAGGAACTTTCTGATTACTGTTGTTGTTTTAGGCTCCTTGGCCAGGCAAGAAGCCAGGCAAGAGGCACAGCTGCAGTGTCTGGGAGGTGACCAAGGTCAGCCACTCCAAAGAAGTACTACTCCGCTCTTCTAGGGGCAGCAGCTAACTTCAGACTTAACCTGGAAGCTGGCTGTTTTTGTATTGAAGTTTAAAGTGGCTGCTTTATACAAAACGAAGGAAATGAAGTTACTTTGGCTGTTACGATTTGGGGACTCCATTTGGGGCCATTATAACAGCGTGACGTGCAGAAGCACAGTCTGTGATTTCTCACTGGACGCAAACATTTTTCCAGCTACTTTTCCCCAGCTGCTGTCTGGGTACAAAGTCCTGGTGTGGCTACTGACTATCTTCAAGGACATTCTGGGCTTTGGAATAAGAAGCTCAAGATGAAGGTTGTGGTGTCCGTCAGGGTGCTGGCTGGCACCTCCGCACAGATCCTTGTGTGCAACAAACTTTGTGGCATTCCTCCAACTTGCTGGTGACCTTCCACAGCACCTGGTCCAGTTAACTCTATGTTGCCCAATCTCCTCCCTCATGTAGTAAGGAGTTGGGAGAAGGGTGTATAGTCAGGTGCAGTCAGAATTCTTGTTGAGAATTATGCTGTTGGTTGCATCTCGAATTTGTTGTGATTGCTGAGTAGGAGTCTGTGGTACAATTGTACTGCAGTTTGGTTACCTATTCATCTATTGATGCTTGAACTCTTTCCTATGTAGCACGATCATGCATAGGTATGTTATGAACAATGAGTAAATATCTAGGACTGAAAAACCTCCATCTTGGGATTGTTAGGCCCTCAGTGACCACCAAGGAGTCTGGAGTGTATGCAACAGCAAAGAGCCTTTGGTTATTCGGGCTTAAGCTCAGGCCCTCAGATTTCACCGTAGCATATCCGTACTGAGAGCCTCAAACTAGGGTGGGGTATACTTTTATATGGAAGTTTCACAGAAGCCCGTGCACGCCAAACATCCTTTAAAATGATTGGATGGTCCTATGCCCTCAGTATGGGGAAGATTCTTATTGGTAGGGGCTGTCTTTAGGGCATTGGAATGTGCTGACTGTTATCTGTGGGGCCAGAAGTTTCTGTTGTTACCTTATAAAGCTGCTATATGCCCGGGCTTGCTTGATCTAAAGCTTTCCGGAATGGGGGTGGTTGCTGAAGATTACAACACACCTGAAACAGCTAGTCAAAATGGAGTGAGTACCGTCTTAAGCCAAGCAGATTCCAGAAGCAGAAAGAAGCAGTTAGATGAGTTGGGGTCTCACAGGACCAGTTTCCTTCAGTTTTGGAGTAGAATGGAACAGTGGGATCATTTCTCAAAGATGTTTACTTGCAATACTATTTTCAGGGTTTCAGTGTTTTAGGTGACATGGGGTTAGTGCTGACATAGATTTTTCATTTTGGGGGAATGTATAGTTTTTTATTATGAAGGTGTTGATGCAAACATCACAACTCATTTCAAAGGGGATAAGAGATAGCTTATCCTGAAGTTAAGTGAGTGACCATGGCCCAGGAACACAGATCCAGGTTACCCCAAATTCTGTGTTCCAGTGTGGAAGCAGTTTCATGAAGTTTATAGTAACAGAACAAAGAAAAGTTGTACATCAAGACACTTTTCAAATAGTTTGGTGGTTACATTCAGTAGTCGGGGTCATAGCAAAGTGGGGGCGGGGATGATTGGTGATGGGGTGAGGGTGGAGGGGATTTTATTCGTCTCAGATGCTATCTGATGACTTCTTAGCTTTTTAAGTGGTGGTAACTGGAACTGTTTCTTTATTAAGTTAATGCATTCTATTAGTCAATAGATGTTAATGTCAGAAACAGAGATAGGCGAGGAGAGGCTTTTGGGGGGCTAAAGATAGCCTAAGGTAATTTTAAATAAGCTTGGGATAAGCAGCATTCCAAATGCTCCACAGTCTTTGGAGTGTTGATCAGTTGGTCAGCCTTGCAGGAAGTTCAGTTCAAGATGCAGGATTTTTCTGGGAACTTGCATTCACAAAGAAGACATCAAAATAACTCTTACAGCATAAACCCTCTATTGTATAAAGGAGTTTATTTCCCACTCTTCCCCTAGAATTCTACCTTGATTTAAAATTTACATCCTGTTAATTTTTCTGTTGTATCTGTTACATCCTGTTACATCTTGACCATGTAAATGCTACTTTTATCTCAGCCATGTAGCATATATGATTACTTTTCTCCTCTCTCTCTCTCTCTCTCTCTCTCTCTCTCTCTCTTTTTTGAGACAGGGTTTCCCTGTAGCCTCAGCTGACCTGGAACTCGCTATGTAGACCAGGCTAGGCTCAAACTCATGGAGATCTGCCTGCCTCTGCCTCCCAAGCGCTGGGATGATTAGTTTACTTCTCATTTGATTCTCCTTGGAGTTATTTTCTCTTTTCAGACTATCTGGCCTTTAATTTATTACAAGCTCCGCATTTACTGTTGACTCCACTCCTGACAGACAGGGAGCTTTGGAAAAAATCCTGTGTCCAGGATTCCCTGTTCCTATGGGTGTGTGCCTGCACTGTGCTCTTTTTCTAGAAAGGTAACCTTGCCTGGTCAGCAAAATGTTCCTCTGAAAATTTTTTCATTTCCCTTTGATGCA